CCCGGGGGGGGGGGAGGGGTTGGGAAGGGGGTGAGATTGTATAGGTTAAGTGCATATTGTGCAGTCTATCCATACTAACTAAAACAAAACTTTCAAGTATTTCAACTAACAGGGTAAAATGATATTATAACTTTATAAGAGGTGGCTGTTCTGAAAAGGATGCACAGCAACCTCTCTCCAATGCCCTTCCAGGCTTGTTAGACCTTACAGATTTGCCGAATACAGACGTTTTAAAAATTATGAAATTGAACAAGATGGTAACCTCATTATAAATTGATGGGTTTTTTGGTTCATGGATTTGTATTTCATGGTACACGCACACTCTGCACAGTCAATCTGTGGAACTCCTTGCCAGAGGAGGTTGTGAAGACTAGGACTATCACAGGGTTTAAAAGAGAACTAGATAAATTCATGGAGGTTAAGCCCATTAATGGCTATTAGCCAGGATGGGTAAGGAATGGTGTCCCTAACCTCTGTTTGTCAGAGAGTGGAGATGGATGGCAGGAGAGAGATCACTTGATCATTACCTGTTAGGTTCACTCCCTCTGGGGCACCTGGCACTGGCCACTGTCGGTAGACAGGATACTGGGCTAGATGGACCTTTGGTCTGACCCAGTACGACCGTTCTTATGTTCTTATCCAGTTTGCACTGACTGTCTTGGGGTTGTTAAACTTATCTAGCTGCACTGATAAGATCTCTGCTATAGGTAGCAGTGTAACACACAAGTCACAAAGCTTTCTAAATAGTAGCAGAATAAGGACTATGTATTGTCAACAACATGAACAAGTTTCTCGGGAACCAAAAGAACTGGCATCTTTCATTTATCACAAAAGAACTTAAACTAAAGAAAAATATTAAAGTACAGATTATTAATAGCAAGTCTATGGGTGGAGATTTTAAATGAATGGAAATGCCCAACATAATTAACTTCCTGATTAATGTACAACAAATTAAGATAAAAGATGGACATAACTGTCAAGGCATCCTGAGTAATCAAGTACACAGTACAAACAGAAAAGTGATGTTACAAGCAAAGTAACTAGAACCTTCAGCCCAAACAAAATCTGTTTACTTTTTGGCCTTTAATAAAAGCTACACAATTACATGTTTAAGAAGCCATGCTACAATTATTAAGGACTATAAATACCAAATATTAACTACACCACCTTAGGTTCCCAGTGATGCTTTCTAGAGCCAACACTATGCACTCAGCACATTGCATTTTAAAAGGCATTACACTCTCTCTGACAGCTACTAGGGCTGAAACACCAAAATACATCTCAGTTAAAATGTCAGTATATTTCAGTGTCTTCTGGCTTAAATTTTTTAAGTTACAGTTTTTCTAACAGTTAAATTTGAATTTTCTCTAGTTTAAGAAGCTACTTGCAAATGTATCACTACATACAAAGCCAGCAATTCCAGGGCATGCCATAGAAAATTCAGAAAAACTCAGTTCATCACATTGAACCAAACTAGAGAGCTACAATTACAATTTCTGTAAGGAATGTTTATTTTTCTTTAATATAACCACGTCTTTATATTTTTATTCTTTACAGTATTTTAACTAACACCAAGTAGAAGTAGCTATGGCCCCAATCCCATAAAGAGAACTGCCTCCACTGACTTCACCAGAATTCAACCTGGGATGCAGGGGTCTACCTGCAAAGTTTTCTTTGTGAGACAAGTACTTAAAAAATGAATGGTGCATTTAAAAAAACAAGTTCATCCCTAACCAAATGCAATTCCCCTTGTGTTTCTAATCAGTGATTTATTTGCATATGGGAAGTCAAGTACATTTTCTGCACTCTCTAAATTATCTGTTCTGGGATTCTAGAAGTTTAACAACATCCCAGTGTGGCACATGCACAAATATAGAGCAACATTTTTCAACTACTTTCTTAACCAATGTGCCTCCTAATAAAGCTCGAGAAGAACTGCATGCAATACTTAAAGATATTTTGGGGCAGACTTTTAAGACAGGAGGTTGCTGAACAAGACTACTCTTGTAAAGTTTCACTGCTTTTTCTCTCTATTGATTTTTGTATAGCCATCGCTGATATCTAGGTGCCCCAATATTTCAATCCACAGCTTTAAAGAGTGTGTGGCTTCTCTCGCTCCTTTTAGACTCACAGATAAATGAGTTTTTAACTTAAAAATCAGTTTTGCATGGGGAAGATTTGATGTTTGTTTGCAAAGGCAGATGGGGAAAGAAAGCTCAATTCTGCATTAAAAAATATGCATCCACTCTTACAAGTCTCTCAATCTTTTGTGCAAAACAAAATAAACTGGGAACACAATTCTCTTAACCAGGAGGAAAAGAAATTAACATGGCAATTGTCCAAGGATGTTTTGCATTAAGAAATTATACCATTCCCTTCTCTCACCCCAAGAGTTAGAGAATTGGGAGGTTTCCGAGTGTGGGAAGACAAGGAAGGAAGGATATCAAAGCTGCACAGCAAGTTAAAGCATGGGGTAATATATTTAGCAAAGGGTAATGTAACCTACAGAAAAATATACAGAAGTGGAATAGGACAAATACATTCTCTAATGCTGGTGAGAAATTCATATTTAAAGACAGGGATCCGTTTTTGGATGGGGGACGCAGGAGAAAGAAGTTATTTGTGGCAGGGATGGTGTCCAGCACTTAGTATACTGTGGGTGCTACTATTATGCAAATAATTAATAGCTTCCTCAGCTCCCAATTGTAGATATAAACCACTATACAACCCTAACGGACCGCGAGCTAATTGGGGCAGGGACGCTCTTTACATTTTGCCTTGAACACTACCAACTTGGTGTTGAGGGCTAAACAGTAACATAGGGCCAAAGACCAACCGGGTAGAGGAAGAAAGGGCCAATCCCTCAGTTTCTCACCATGTAAACACAATTACTGACAATTTGCAGTAATAGCTCCTTTAGCAATCCCGGGCTGAGCACTTCAAAATACCAGTAATGATTAATCACAGATTTGTAAGGGGTGAGGAGAAGCAGGGAAATTCTCTCCTCCCTAGCCCAAGCAGAGGGTCTACACTATGTAAAGCCTCTTTACCCCATGGTGGCCCCACGTGCTTCAGGGAGGGAAGCTTAATCGTGATCAGTCCCTTCACATGTTATTTCCAATATCAGATGCAAACCAGCTCAACAGAGCTTATAATGGGGATAGGGTGACCAGATAGCAAGTGTGAAACATTGGGACACTTTTTTTTTTGGGGGGGGGGGGGGGAATAGTTGCCGATATAAGAAAACCCCCAACACTGGGGCACCTGGCCACGCGAAGTGAGGAGGGAAATCAAGGGGACACACCCCGCCTCCAGTGCTTGTGGGGAGACATGGGGGTCGGGGGCCCCCGAGGAGGGGTGAGGGGCCCCTGTGGGGGCAGCGGCTGGGACGGGGTGAGGGGCCCCTGTGGGGGCAGCGCTGGGTGGCACAGAGGGGCAGGCTAGGGGAGAGAAGGGCGCCCGAGGGAAGGAGCTGGAGAGGGGCGCCTCCCCCTCCCGCAAGGGGCTCCGCCCGGGGTCTGAGCCCCGCTCCCCTGCAGGGGCGAGGAGGGTTAGCCCTTCCCGGCCCAGCGGGGCTCCCCGGGCGGCGGGAACCACGCGAGGCCGTGGCCGCGGCGCGGCCTGGTCGGGGAGGGGGCGAGGTGCCGGGTGCCAGCCGCGGTGCGGGGGCAGCCCCGCTGAGGGGGCGGGGGGGGTCGGTACCGTAGATAGGCCGGAGGCGCCGGTCGTTGGGGTCCTGCACATGGCCCCGCGCCGCCATGATGAGAGCGCAGAACCGCAGTGCGCAGCCGCCGCGCCGGCGGGACCGGCCAGGCTCGGCCCGGGGGGCGGGGGAGGGTAAAGAGGCCGGGTCGGGCGGGCGCTGCCCGGCCTCACGTTCCCGGGCCGCGGCCTCCACCCCAGCCGGGCCCGGACTCCCCCCCCCGCGATAGGGCCTGTCGCGATATGCCTGGCCAAGGGAGAGCCCGCGGTCTGTGGGGACAGCGCCAGCCGGGGGTAGCAGCCCCCCGCCCCGGCTCGCCTCCTGGCTGCCGGGGTTGGGCCTACCGCGATACTCCCCCCGGCTCGCGTGGCCGGGCTCTCCGGTCCCCTAGTCCCGCCCTTGCACAGTGCCGCCCAGGGCCTGCTGCGAGGTCCCCCCGCGCACCGTGCGGGACACAGGGCCCCAGC